CTGATGCTATTCCAATCATTCTGGAAGTATTCTAAACTTGTTACAGCTAAGCTTGAACCCATCTGGTAAGGCAAAATAGTTTTTCACATTCAAAATGGTGCATTTCCACCTCAAGTGGAGCAAATTTGAAATGGTACCCTTCAAAATCAGACCAGGGCATTTTAAGCTTTGGAATGTTTTGCACTATTGCACTATTTAAGGCCACTGTTTGTGCTGCCCATTTTGAACTTGGCAGATGCATTAGTTAGGCCATCTCTTTCTGTCTTCTGACCTCAACCTAGTGCAAAACATCAACCTTTAAAAATATGACTGACTTACTTGTGCCTGTGCCAGTCCCAATCGTGTTGATGGTTGCAGGAACGGAGGACGAGGAATAGAGAGGGAGGTGACCATTCTCACACCCCAGGTTTTTATCCTGCCAGCTGGAGGCATTCACACATATGCCAGAGTCCCGAGAGCTCTGCCACCCGTTGAGTTTATCATCCGAGTTCTGTCTTTGGTGATAGTAATGTGACTGCCCGTAATCCACCGAGTCAGACCGGCCTCTGTTTTGGCTGCCAAAAGTCCCTGATGTGCGGTCCTCCAAGTGGTTCAACCACATGGCAAGAGCACTCCTGTCCTCCAGGGATGTGGCAGGATGGATCAAAGCATAGGACAGGAGTTGCCTGCTCTCCTCTATGTGTTGATTGTGTTCGATTGAATGAGCCAGGATTTTGGGAAGGAGTTTCATGTACTCCACTTTTCCTTCAATATTCCCTGGCTTCAGCAAAGGCAGGTGGGTGAGCAATAGAGAAATTACTTTGTCCTTTGATTCTTGCTGCCACTGGTTAATGATTCCTGTTGGGCCGAAAAAAAATGGGGGAGGGAGGAGTGGAGAGGAGAGAGAAAGAGAGAGTTGTGAAATCAGGAAACAAGCCTAGGAAATAAATAAATAGATTTTAAAACACTATGAATAGCTTTATGACACTAATCTCATCAATAATCAAATTATTCTTTCTTCTACTGCAGTAAAAATAAAGATGCAAAATAAAAACAAACAACAATAAAGCAGGATAATACTGTGGCTGTATGCAAGCTTTTGAATCACAAAGAACCTTCAAGCAAGTTCAAGTGTGGTCTGGGGAGACATTATGTTTGCTCTTGCAAATGAAGAAATGTCCACTGTTGTTTCAAATTCATATCAATTTGTACCTAGAAACATACCCTCCTCAAGATTCAACTTCTCTGAATAGTGTCCTCTTGTAAATATGTCTTAAAACGGAACCAACCACCAAAATGGTTAACTGCCCTACTTGATCCAAACATACTCATATTGCTCTTTTGTAGTACGGATCACTTTGTGGGGTTTTTTCCAATCATGTGACCTGGGGATCATGGAAGTTGCAGTCTAACAGAGGGAGAATTGGGGTATGTGCCTGGTCACCTGAAAAGGACAGGGACTGACCATTTTACAATCCAGCTGCAGTAGCCACTGCTATGTAATATGTCTTCACTCTGCTGCAATTCTCTGCTGGCCAATGATACAGAGCAGGGGACGAAAACATGTAACTTCACATCATACTGCAAATCAGCCTTCCCCACCCTGTTGCCTGGGAAATCCAGATGTGCTGGCACTAGATGTGTTAGGGTTACCATATCTGAACTACATGAATGATTTGTGCAGACAACAGAGTGGTATCTCCAACACTCTTGGCAGCCACCAGGTTGGCAAAAATGGCTATGCATACTGTTATCCATTAACCCTAGGAGGGATCACAGTTCTGCAGGGGGAAAGATCAGACTCAGCTGGGCACTATAACCTTTATAATGAAGTTTATAGTAGCTTCTGAATTCAGCTGCCAGGAATCCAGGACAGTTAAAAATGTGTAATTTACCAATGGGGGGGGGGGGGGGGACAACAGATTAATTTAAATTACAAAAATATGTTAAATGAAAAAATAAAACATCAATTGTATGAAGTTCTTTGTATAAATGCACATTTTTATAAGATACAGATTGTTTGAAACAATCATATTACACTATCATACTCAAACACCTTGAGGCCAAGGCTGCTTTTCTATTTAAAGACAGCCCTGTGGGGAGCCCTACTCAGTTCAGATGGGAAATCATACCTGGAAATAAAGACACAATTTGATTTTTTAAAATGTGTAATTAATTGCTGGTTGTTAGCCTGATATAGCTTGCCACCAACATTGAACAGACAGCAAGTTATTTATTAGATAAGCAAGACATCATAGTCTATTTCTAAAGTAGCAAAATATTATTATAAAATGAATCCTTCGAAAACATATAAAAACTTCAGTTATAAATCAAGGTGCTTTGATAGTGAAGGCAGCAACCCAAACTGGAATGATTTACATTTTAGGATTCCACTGAATAATATTTACTCTTGCTTTAAAAAATCTGAAGGTAAAAGATTCACTCAACCATCTTTTCCTTTCATGATTTAAATCAACCTTGTACAATCTGATAGATATGTTGGGAATCCAACCAAACCTCCAGTTCTGCTTTCCTACAGCCATTCATAATTCTAGCTGCAATGCTGAGTCCTGTCTCTGTCTATTCATTCTCCATTGTAAATATGAAATATTGGGTTAACCAGGGTGACGTCCATTCCTGTTTTGAAATAGGATGGTACAAATGTGGCTCAGAGGCAGACAGCCAAATGCCTTTGCAAGTGGTTATACGTAAAGGGAGGTTTATTGAAAGATAAGTCACTACTAAAGAAAGAAAACTGAATGCCTGCGTAGTAGAGAAAGATGACAGGAATTCCATTTTTTGGCACATATGCGCCTGAACTGTCTCAACCCACACAGTCCTCTCTCTGTCATCTGCCACCTTCAAGATAACAAATGGCTCAAACCCACAAAGACAGCTCATGTTTCAAAAGTGGACACTTACACAAATGACAACTAGCTGAGAAAGAAAGAAAAGCATTTTGTGGCTGATCAGAGACTTTATTAAAAGGTAACCTTTAGATAATTATTGTTTATATGAGAGAAGGGTAATATTTTTGTATTACTGGTTGCAGCTGTTGGTATGTGAGCACAATGCTTTTCCTGATTAAATTGAAGGCAATTCCATCTAATATTTCCTCTTAGAAGAGTGGGTAGACATCTTCTTTACAAATGCTTGCTAAGATACCAGTTCATAATGTTTCCCATCTCTTACTATTCACTCTTCATAAGGCAGCTCTTAAAAATAGTCCAAAAATTGCAGCTGGTCAAACATGCAACAGTGTGAGTGGTGAATGGGCTTTCCATGAGTAGCTGCATACAATCTGTTGAAACATCTGCACTAGCTGTCAATTCCTTTATAGATCCAATTCAAGGCACTCACTATGGTTAGTGGCTTATTACGATTACACTGATTAGACCAGAGTTACTTTCAAAACTGCTACCTTTAAAACACTCTGCCCCATGCTTTTAAGTCATTTTTCCAGTCCCGTTTTACATTTAACATCAACAACTAATTTGGCTTTTTTCACACAGCATTTATAATGCTTTATCTTTGGAGTTGAAGTTGATTTCCTATAGTTTGGTCCTTCTGTTGTTGGATTTTGTAGTTTTAATTGGTGACTGAATTTTATTGTTGCATATTATTAATTTTTTGTAAGATATCTAGAATCATTTTGACTAGGCAGCGTAAATATCCATTAAATTACTAAATAAATGTCAGAGACTAGTCAACAGTATCAGGAATCCTACTGCATATTTACTACCTCTTTACTGGGAAACAGAATGAAGGAACATTATTCCGTGGAGCCAAAAAATGATGGAGGCGTACATTATAACTTTAGTCTATCAGCGATATCTTTGAGTGCCTTTTAATTCATCACATTAAAGGGCACAAGCTGTAGAGCTTGGTGAATCTCTTTGGTCTATCATAGAATCATGGTATGAAAGGGATTGAAGTCATTTTGGAGATCACCCAGTCTCTGCCCATTGCAGGACTCCATGCTATGATCATCCAGCCTCTGTTTAAACAACTGTGAAGGCAAGGTCACTGACCTCTGAAGCACTCTTGTTTTATTGTTGAATATCTCTTACAGTTAGGACATTTTTTTCTAGTACCAACCAAAACCGTTTCCATGTAAATTAAATCTACACTTTCTCATCCTGTTTTCTGGAACAACTATGAACAATTCTGCCCTGTCTTCTACATGAAAGCCATTCAAACTCTTGATGACACTTATCATGTCTCCCCACAGTTTTCTCTTCTCCAGGCTAAACATAACCAATACCTCCGTTTATTCCTCAAAGTTTTTCCTTCCAAGCCCATTATCATCTTGGTGGATTTCCTCTGAACAATTTCCAAATTTTGTTTTTTTCACTGAATCAACTTTTTTCAATCTGGTTCACAAATCACATTAGGTGACACATTTAGTTTGGACTCAGCATATTGTGTGAATTCAATTATAGTTTATTCCATGACTTAAAATGATGTGTAAACCAAAAATTACACATACAATGCAAAACAGAATTGTTTTTTCCCCACTTGTGTAGTTTCTCTTGTCTACAGTACTGCAGATTTCTTATAAATGTGTCACTAATTTTTCTTCAGAAAAATGTATTTATGGCTGCTTGATACCCATATTTAGAACTAAAAGGAGCCCTTGAAGCAGCTGATAAAAATCAGATAAAAACTTTTTAAGTAACAAAATCCTCAAGAAGACCAGGAAGCAGAAACAGTCCATAAGAGTAGGAGTTTAAACAAGGTTGTTTAAACCCATAAAATGTGAGATTTGCTAGATACTTGTTGCACTCACACATTTTTAATCTGGTTATTAAATTAATCCATTTCTGGGTTTGCACAACCCTGTATCATACAAACAAGTTTAGCATGTGGTGCAAATGTGGCCCCAAGAACATTAACTGACCTTGTTAAGTGTGTCATGTAAACACGGCTTTCCTGTGATAATGAATTCCATGATCCACAGAAGGCTTAATCTTATACTATCTGTCTTCCATGGCTTCCAAGCTGAAAGGGCACATGGAAGAAATCCCTATAATGCCTCTAGAGTGCAGGCTGCTCATATTTAAAAAGATGCTTCTTTGGACAGCCTGGTCTGATATCATGTTGGCATGTAAGATAACGGTGCTAGTTACTAGGGCTGTCCAAGGAAACTCTTCAAACCTGCTACTTGGACTGTCAAGGTATGGCCAGTTCAAGAACCCTGAGTACTCAGAACATGCATATCACCAGGACTGGGGCCAAAGAAGTTATTTTTTTTGTTCACATGAACACTTGATTAGACGAAATGGCTTCAAAACAGCTGTACTGAACTTTTACAAGACACTTCATTTTGACACTTTGTGGACACCCCCACCCCCAGTGATTTGCACAACCCCACTTGCTGCTCCTTATTTATTTATTTTTCACTTTCTATCCTGCAGCAATCCAAAGACTCTGGGAAGCTATACAAAAGGAAACTTTTGGACAGTCTTCAAGGGCAGTGTTACAGTAATGGGCTTCAAGGGCTTTCTAATTTATGGCAAGTTCACTCCATCTCAACTGAGGTTCACAATAATCTCTTCCCAGGGGGGGTCTCAAGGTTTCAAACATCCATAAAAACAAACACAAAAAACCAAAAGCTAATAAAAGCCACTTACTGTACTTGTACATCTGAAAATCAAAGAATTACAGGTAGTCCTTGACTTAAGACCATTCATTTAACAACTGTTCAAAGTTATGACGGCGCTGAAAAAAGTGACTTATGACCAGTCCTTGCACTTACAACTGTCACAATACCTCCATGGTCATCTGATCAAAATTTGAGCACTTGGCAACTGGCATTTATTTATGACAGTTGCAGCATCCTGGAGTTATGTGATCAC